TAACACTAGTGCTGCCACGTTGCGGTCACCTCCCTCCACGCCCGGGGGATAGCATTACCCGCCCGAAACGCCGATAGACCGCGTAGCGCCATCTGGCGGTGGCGTTTGCAAGTTAATTTACGACGCTAAACCACAACCTGATGTTGACCGTGACAGTGTTCTATTGTCTCTGGTGTATGCGCAGAAGCATAGATATCATAACAACCTAGTTATATAATATATAATATCTATACCTATATCTATATCTATAGTTGTTATATGATGTCTATGCGCAGAAGAAACTCAGAAACTCAGAAACTCGGAAACTCAGAAACTCAGAAACTCGGAAACTCGAAAAGTCGGATGTCGTTTCAGTGCTTCCATACTATGATGATACTATCCAGATTATATTATAGAGTCTAGAGTCGAGATCAGTGCTCTTGAGATTGTCAGTCAAATTTGGAAATCCGCAGTTGGGGCAGCACGATCTCAGGATTGCGCAAATTCCAAGTTTGGGTACAACAACTACAACGTTCAAAGGCTGGTTGTGCTGTTTACCGTGATTCTAAGGATGGAAGACGCAACAAAAACAAAAACATCATTATTTCCTGCATTCAGCAGTGGTTTATCTCAACATCTAATAAGTATAGATTCTGACACTTCTGACACAAAATGTAAGCGAAATTGCAGACTGTAAATCTGTTAAAGCTGCACTATGCGCATCCAAACGCTAATTTCTCCAGTACTAGAGCTGAGAGCGACTATGTCCCCCGGGGTACTGCCGGAACGTACCCTGGTACTATCTAATATGCCGGAACGTACCCTGGGTACGGTCCGGTATACCGGAACGTACCCTGGTACTATCTAATATGCCGGAACGTACCCTGGTACTATCTAATATGCCGGAACGTACCCTGGTACTATCTAATATGCCGGAACGTACCCTGGTACTATCTAATATGCGAACACTGCGCGATGTTAGGCTGCCCGCTATACGCATTCGCGCGCCCGCCTTCCTTCGGCGCGCGAATTCGTATAGCGGGGAGCGCGAGATGCTACATACAACACCCCGCGGTCGCGTGCGCCCAGTCCCGCGGAAGTGCGCGGCTTAACCGCTTTCGGCGGTCGGGGAACAACGCATCTTTTGCGCAACGCCATCTTGTACCCGGTCTCTTCTGGACTAGCAAATACTTCGTGTCATGCATAATCACACTACCTTATGGCAAAATAAACTATAGTTCCTCCCATTTCACTGCGCGTTTGCTTGAAACCCACAAAAAAGAGGTGCAAAATCTGGTAATCTGGCGCCAACGCAAAATTGTTTGCCAAACAATTTCGCCAAGAATTGGTTAGGTGACATCACATGTTTTTATCTTTGCTACACCCGTACCGCTGTACCGCGGCACCGCTGTGCGGTTGCTTGGCAGAGCAACGCGAAAGTGTCAACAACATCGGAGAATTTGAACAACATTGGAGGTATTTTCAAATGCCTTTTATAAGACAACGCGCAGTGAAATGGGAGGAACTAGAGTTTATTTTGACATAAGGTAGTGTGATTATGCATGACACGAAGTATTTGCTAGTCTAGTACTGGAGAAATTAGCGTTTGGATGCGCATAGTGCGGCTTTAAATGGTAATTGTTCAATTTGTTGTTTACATTAGCCGGCGTTTGGCTTTGGCCCTTGGCTAGTCACATCCAACAACATATGAATTAAAACCCCATTTGTTCTTCCTGTGTTTCTCATACTAGGTGAATTGAGCTGGCTTCACAACCCAAGTTTTGCAGAAGAAAGCCTGAGCAAGATCAAATACAGTCAGGATAATATCAGTGAAGACAGGTAATTAATCATTATTAGGTATTCTCTATCAAGCATATAGTACTAGTAGTTAGCATACTGAAAGTAACATTTAGTACATTGTGCCATTCAGGTGTCAATGCTGAATCACTTAATCTCAATTGAAGGCGAAATCATTGTTCGTAGTAATTCAAACATTTAATGATAAAATATAGAAAAGAAACTGTCCTCGAGTAAGAACAATGTAGTTTTAGAGCACTTGTTATTCCATTACCGCTATAAATATAATATTAGTGTCTACTGTTTACAAATTATTTCCACAAACAGAATCTCAGATGAGCAGAATATTGATGTTACATCCAAGACAGCTGAAGGTTATGACACTACAAAACGCAAACCCACAAAGTTAAAGAAGGCAAGAGAAGAGAGTGAAAGTGAACTAGTTGGCAAGCATGATACAGTAGTGCGAAGTAGAAGAGAGGACAATGGAAGAAGTAGAAGAAATCGGAGCTCTGATTCTGATAGTTCCAGTGATCGCAGTGTAAGTAGAAGATCAAAGAGAGGCAAGACTAAAAAGAAGCACAGACACAGGTACAGATCTACTTATATGCAGATTGTGGTTCTAGTCACTGAAGAAAATAAAGAAGAAATGCTTTAAGCTGGGTTTACGCTACCAACTTTATGTGGGAAAATTGGCAAGTTAGACAAACTTCCCAATTCGCCAAATCCGATTTGGCGAAAATAGAACATGTTCTAATCTCCCAACTAGTTGCTATCGATCGGTTGGTCGCGCAACTTTTGCATTTACACTGCCGATTGTCGGTTGATAGTTGGGAAGTTGGTCCAATTCGCCAACACAAAGTCGGTAGTGTAAACCCAGCTGTAATGAAACATGCATGGAAGCGTATTTAGTTCCAAATATTCATTTGCAACAAACGTGAACTGTAAACACTAGGGGTGCACCGGAACTTGGATCCGGCCGGAACTATCTGGCCGGATCCCCAATTTTTCAGAGTTCCGGTTCCGGCCGGAACCCTTCAGGAACAGTCGGCCGGAACCGGAACTTTCTTTTTCCTAATTTCATTTCTGCTACAAGCGTCATCAAGATCAAAAGACCAATCACTGAATGTAGTTGAGAGTCAATGGAGTCAACTTGCTGACAATATAGTGTTAACAACTTCATACTATTCTGCCCAAAAAACGTTTGCCACTAGAAGATCGGCTAACCGACAGTAACTGAACTGAACCTAACTGATGTTAGGTGATTCACGAGATTTTCTTTTAAAATCAAATACTCTTAGAGCCACAGGAATGGCATCTGTCTGTTAGTTGAAAATAATCGACTAAAACCAGGGAAACTGCAACATGCAGGTTTTGCCACAGAATTCGCTCGCGAATAAGATGCCAGAATTATGCACTGTAAGGAGCTGATTCATACACCTAACAACAATCCTGTAATTAGAACTTTGAGCATTGTCCTGCTGGCCTGAGTGATGTGCCTGCTAATAATATTTCATTTAGGCCGAATGAGTTTGCGCAATACTGGGCTAAAACTGTCAAGTTTATTCCCAGCTTAAGTTCCGGTTCCGGCCAGGTAGTTCCGGCGGGAACTTTTTTCAAGTTCCGGCTGGTTCCGGTTCCGGCCGGAACTTAAAAAGTTGGATCCGGTGCACCCCTAGTAAACACACCCCTAAAGATTGAATATCTTTTCACAGTCACAAGAAGAAGAAACGGAAACACGGTCGCACTAATGGAAGTGACGATGAAGACAAACACCACAAGAAGAAGAAGTAAGCACATTAAGACTCACATGATCGTTAACTCATGTGGTCATTAAATGTTAAAAAATATCTGAATTCTGTCTTAGCATTCATTGCCTTAAGTAATAATTATGTTTGGGCATCAGAAAAATCCAAAAAATTAAATTGGTATTAGGATGATCCATCTTTTGTAATTCTGGAGCAGAAACCATTGTTATGATTTTTGTAATGATGGTTATTATTGCTATCATTAGCAGCATCATCGTCAGCAGCAGCAGTAGCATCCTCTTCATCATCCTCAACTTCGTCATTGTCATCATCGTCGTCGTCGTCATCGTCATCATCATCATCAGCATCATCTTTATCATCATCATTGTCGTCTATTAATATTATGCCACGATTATTCTTACAACAGAGAGAAAGAAGACAAAGAAGAGACACGCTTACCCAGTGGAGCGTCCAAGATGGTCTTCCTTGAGGAGGTGGGCGTACAGCCGGAGCACGCATTCCGAATCGACCGCCAGCGAGACATGAACAATCTAAGGTGCGGCTCGATCTACAAGGCTCACGTCTCCCGGTACTGGCCGACGCGCGCACACCGCAGTCTCGGCATGGACGACGCGACGCGGCGGTTGTTTGCGTTGCCGGCAACGCGGCCGATGCGGTACTGCGACCGCGACGTAGCGCGAGCGGTGAGGCGCGAGCGTTCGCTCGACCTCTCGCGGCCTGCGTCCGCCGCACGGTCACCACCCGACACCGCCGCCGGATTCATCCCCGTCGTCGCTTCCACCGCGCGGGTTCCCGGCGTCGAGCTTCCCGTTGCCGTGGCGTCGCATCTCGTTCCTCAGCTTCCCGTTACCGCGGCGTCGCATCCCGGCGTCGGGCATCCCTTTGCCGCCGCGTCGCATCCCGTTACCGTGGCGTCGTATCCCGTTCCTCAGCTTCCCGTCGAGGAGATCCCGCTTCCCGTGGACGCGATCCCGCTTCTGGGCTCGTCGCTCCGGGTTCTCGGCGACAAGGACTCTCTCGGCATTATCGATCGCGCGACGCAGGCGTACGTGCACGGTGGCGTCCCCACTGAGGTCGTCGATGATGAGGGCGCCGGCATCGGCGTCGTTGAGGGCGTGTCGGACGAGGTTGGTCGCCGCGTAGCCAAGTACAACCGGAGGCTGCGCGAGCATCCCGAGGATGCGGACGCGTGGCTCGAGTTCCTGAGCTTCCAGGACGAGCTGCTGCGCGATGCGGCAGCGGCCGGAGGCGGACAAAGGGCGCCACCGCGGCGTGCGGTGCTGGAGAAGAAGATGGCGATCGTGGAGAAGGCGCTCGGGGCGGTGCCGCGGGCTGCGGCCGTGCCGCTACACGTTGCTAAGCTGGACATCGGTGCCGAGCTGTGGGAGAAGGAGCGACTACTGAAGGTACAGACGCGGTCTTGCGGCTTCGTCGTTGTGTTTGTAGTTTTCGCAGATTTTGCAGTTTTCATGGAATCTGCAAAATGAGCTCAAAGAGCCTGAAATGTTGTAACTATTGAAGTAAAGTGTCGTGAAAAAGTTATGACAATTTAGACATGTATGTAGATGGTCAGATAGCAAGTATTAATGATATTTTTAACAATGGTTTTCTGCTATTGCATGCTGGCATTGCTCATGAATTGTAATTCATCGGATAACGGAGAAAAATGCTAATAAAAACACCAACTGAATCCAATATCCCATAGATTTGTCGTGACGGAAATCCAATACTTGAATAGTGTAAAATGTTGTGTAAAAGTCATGACATTTTAGACATGTAATAGCTGCAAGTATTTATGATATTTTTAGCAATGGTCCTCTGCTAGTGCATGCTGACATTGCTCATGAATGGTAATTAAACAGATAACGGAGAAAAATGCTAGTAAAAACACCAACTAAATCCAATATCCTGTTCGTAGATTTGTCCTGTCGGAACTCCGATACTTGAATGTAGCGAAAGCGGCTCAGTGTTTATCGAAACTGCGTCCGCTAAATCTCCCGGTGGGGATCAACGTTTCTCATTGTAGGAGTGGGAGCGGTTCATATTCGTTCATCCCAACGAGGCGCGGCTGTGGCAGGAGTACCTCATGTTCCGGCAGTCGCACCTGAAGACGTTCACCTTCTCGGCAACGTTTGCGAAGTACGGCAAGTGCCTGCAGACGCTGAACGCCATCCAGGAGCGAACGTTCACGTCTCACCAGCCGCTGCCGCACACGCCGGAATACATGCTAGGTACTGTATAAGCCGTATTTTTCACGGTCGGTGAATTATGAAGTATTCGGTATTATTCGGTATGCATTATTCGCGTGGTCAGGGATGCGTTCGCGAAATTCACGAAATTTAAACCACTGCATATACAGTAAGCGGTCAAGGCTAGGAGCTCGGGCCATGTCGGGAGCAGCGCTTGGGAGGTTCTGTCGCGTTGGTGTTTGTCGCTGTACAGTCGTGTGACTTGCCTCACATTGCCAGATAGCAGGGGTTAGTAATGACAAATTGTCATTTGTCATCAAATGACAAAATGGCAAATCAATGACAAAATGACAATTTTCATTATTAACCCCTGCTATTGTTTTCAAGCGAAAATCGTTGGATGATGACTGTATTGCAGGGAATATGCTGAATGCTCGAATGCTGTAAGGGGCGTCGTGGTGGTGGTTTATTTTGAGTTTAAACCCACGGTTATTCGTGTGTTCGTGAGTCGTATGGTGTATGGCGTATGTGACGGTATGTCGCTGGCGGAGGTATGCACTCTCCGTGAGTGCACTCTGTCTAGTTTGTCCTGTTCTGTGTGCCTTACAGAGTGATATTACAGCAAAATGATATAGCAGAATGATGTTGCAACAGAGTGATATTACAGGAGCATGATATTACAGTAGAATGATATTACAGCAGCATGATATTACACCATCATGATATTACAGCAGAGTGAGATAACAGCACCATGATATAACACCATCATGATATTACGCCATCATGATATAACACCATCATGATATTACACCATCATGATATTACAGCAGCATGATATTACACTATCATAATATAACACCATCATGATATTACAGCAGCATGATATTACACCACCATGATATTACAGCAGCATGATATTACACCAACTCATGATCCTTACACACCATCATGATATATCAGCAGGCATGAATATTACACCCATCATAATATTCACACCAATCATGATATACAGCAGGGCATGATATTACACCCCCATCATTGATAATTAGCAGCATGCCACTCACCCTCTCCCCAAGCCACACCGCATGCTATTCTCCGCACATCATTCTACACTATCATGATATACACCATCCTGATATCTACACCATCATTTTTGCTATTGAAACAGCAGCATGATATTACAGCATGCTCATCATGATATTACAGCAGCATGATATTACAGCATGCTCATCACACTCCCACTCACTCTCACAGCACTGATATTCCACCACCATCGCATCATACAGCCATCATGAATATTACACCTATTCAATTGATGTAACCAGCATAGTTCATCATGATACTCCTCAGCCAGCCACTGCATACTTCACCACATTCGCGATATCACTCGCATGCTCACTCCATCGATCCTTACACGCATGCTCATCCAGGGTGGATATTACCAGCAGCACTCCCACCTCATTCACCAGCATGCTCATCATGATATTACAGCAGCATGATATTACAGCATGCTCATCATGATATTACAGCAGCATGATATTACAGCATGCTCATCATGATATTACAGCACACCAAATGATATTCCGCCATCGCCCACTCACTGATATTCCACGCAGCCCATGACTACTTACCACGCCCCATCCATCCATGATATTACCAGCGCAGCATGATATTAACCAGCATGCTCATCATTGATATTGAGCAGCAGCATGATATTTACACCACTCAGATATGTACGCAGCAATGATCATACACCACATGATATTACAGCCAGCCATGATATTACACGCACCATGGCTATTATATTCTTATGCCACGCCCACTGATACTTTCTCTATCACGTACTTCTGCTCTCCGTACCACGCAGTCCGCTACTACCTCCCGAGACACGGCCTCGGCACCACTCGCCAGCACAGCCCGCCTGTCGCTTGTTTCCAGGCCCTCGTCGAATACAACTGCTTCTGTCCCGAGAGTCTAGCTCACTCCGTCTCGTCTCAAGCTCTTGTCGCATTCTTCGAGACGTTCTGGGACAGCGGCGTTTCCCGGTACGTGACGCGCTTGTGTTTTTTATGCTTTGCGATCTTATTAAGAGATGATAATACCAAGAGGTATTATTACCTTTTGATACTTAAATATATATTATTATTTTATATATTATTCAATTAAATCTTATATTATTATTAAATCTTTATTGCATGAAATTCAAGTACAAATACGTGGTTCATTATGTAATGTCTTGTTTTCTTCACGATCATCAGTGGTAGTAGATCGTTGTGTATCGTGTCAATATTAATGAGATTGCGCATACAACATTGTCATTCTTCGACTCCGTTTTGGCTATATAGTTAAACTGCAGTGGGAGCTGTTGCATATTCTAGTATTTACTTCGCGGTTGGTCATTAACCTTGCCGAAATTTAGTAAATTAGTAGCTTTCGGGAATCGTGAGTTTTGTTTAGAGATGCAATATTTGCCCATTGTCTTACTGCATCAGTGACCGACAGACCAAGGTCATTACGAATAGTAGGCACGTGTTCAATTTTGCTGACCGTTTGTTTTGATGCACAGTATTGGGGAGGACGATGCACCTGGCTGGGCACAGTGGATGCAGAACAAGAGTAGTGGAGCACCACAGGAGGAGACGCCGTTGCCAGGTACACTTTAGCTGTACACTTATAGCTGTATTAGCTTTATAATTGTATTTTTGTATTATTCGATTTATAGCTTTATTAGTCTGGTACACTTTAGCTGTAGTTGCTGGATTCACAGTGATTTGCAGTCTGTCAGCTTTATATGTGTCTGGCTGAGTGTGGCCGTCATATGGCATCTTCTTTGTTACTGTTCTACTGTCGTTGTTAAAACCCTCTTGTAAGTGTAGGTTAGTGGTAGTGTTGTCAATCGGTTGTAATTTTAGTAATCGATCATCGGTTGCATGTACGTGTGTTCATGTATGTGCTTGTTTAGCCAGCGTATAAAATCCCTAGTGTGTCTTAGGCTTTATAGCCCCTCAACAGGAAGTAACTGCGGCGAATGTTGGGTGATTCCCGAACTAAAATAGCGATGATATCTTTGATTCTCATCAGTTTTCCAAGTTTTCTTGTTCAAGTTTTACATTAATTTCGATTTTTTTTTTTGATGAAATTGATTATGGATTTTGATAACCAAGCGCTTGGTTCGAGCCACTGTTCAACCGATGATCGAGTATAATCGATGATCGTGGCATCACTAGTTAATGGTCACGATGTTACGCTCACTGTACAGTCGTGTGACTCACCTCATGTTGCCAAATAGCAGGGGTTCATAACGACAAATTGTCATTTGTCATCAAATGACTAAATGATTAATCAATGACAAATGACAATTGTCATTATTAACCCCTGCTATCAGGCAATGTGAGGCAAGTCGCACGACTGTACAGCAAGCGTAACGCCGTTAAACTGTGCTGACAAGAGGGTTTTAATGCCAATAGTAGAACAGTAACAAAGAATATGCATGAATAGGAAAATGTATAATATAGGATAATATAGAAAATTGGATATTAAATATAGATATAATAAAAATACATATAGATATAAATATAGATATAGATAAAAATAGGATATAAAATATAGGAAATAGGAAAATAGGTGAGGAACGTATTAGGCAACATAAGGCGAGTCACACAACAGTATGTACAGTGAGCGTAACATAGTTAAACTGTGCGTACAAGAGGGTTTAAACAACGATAGTAGAACAGTAACAACTAGAAAGCTTCCTCACCTATTTTGACATTTGAGTTGAGTTCTCTTCGTTGGAAATGTTAAATAGGATTGTCATAATTGTAGGATCTATATTTTACAGTTTTGCAGTCTGCTATTTCATATTCAGCCTTTGTAATGCGCACGTGAACATATTTGCGTGTAACTCGCGCAGTATAAATTAATAAATATTATTATTATATTATTATTATTTACTTCAGAAGAAGAGGATTCTTCCGAAGAGCAAGACAGACTCGAGGACAAAATCATCGGCGAGCAGCCGCCCGCATGGCGTGCGTGGACGGCGATCGAGCGCCTGCGCGAGTCGCGCAACTGGTTGCCGTGGCGACCCGGCGGCGGGCGCTCGGTCGACGACTGCGAGGACCCGGACCGTCTCGTGCTTTTCGACGACGTCTCGGCGAGTCTCTTCCGTCTCGACCGCGAGACGCTACGCTTCGAGCTCGCCTCGCACTTCCTCGAATTCCTCGGCGCACATCCGGAGCCGCTGCACGCGTCCTCGTCCCGCCAGGAGCGCCGCCGCCGCCAGGTGGCGTCCACGAGCCCCTCAGACGTCCTCGACGTCCCGGACTCTGCCGCAGTGCTGGTCGCGCCATCTAGCGAGGCGCTAGCGGGCGGCGCCGCGCGCATCCGTAACGCCTTCGCGCAGCTGCTGCCGCGGTTTGCCGCGCCGAATCTGCGGTCTGCGCTGACGCGGGCGTGGCTTCGCTTCGAGGTCTCGGCAGCGGGTGGGGTCGTGGGGAGGTCGCGCGCGCGGGAGGCGCGGCGGCGCGCGCGGGAGCTGCTTCGCGATGACCCGGCGTGCCGCAACGACGTCTCCCTCTACGCGCTGTACGCGCGCTTCGAGTGGTCGCTCGGCAACCGCGGCGATGCGCGACGCGTGTTCGACACGGCCGTCGCCACGGTGACGCGCGCGCACGCCGGTGCACAGCGGCAGGAGCTCGGCGCACTCTACAGGACGTACGCCGAACTCGAGCTCGGGATTGAGACGGGCGCCGACGGCATCGGCGAGCGCGCAGCGAGGGCCGAGACGGGTGACCGCGAGAAAGCGACTGCGCTGCTCGCCGCTCTAGCCGACGGCGGCCACGCGGGGGCGCCAGTATCGCCGACGCGGACGCTGAAGTGCCAGCGGTGGTACGCGAGCGAGGTCGCTGTGGCGACGACCCAGCACGACCCCAGCGGGGATTTTGCATCGTCGTACGTGTCCGACGTCGTCTGCTGCGCCGGATACTTCCTCTACCTGACGCAGGGCGTCGTGGCCGCGTGCGCGCACTTTGATGACATCATCGCCGCGCTGCGAAGTGAGTGCCGCGACGGCGACGACGATTCCTTGTTTGATCCGGGTCGTGACTCAGCACGGCGCCACCTGGAGGCGGTGATGGCGTCGCACGTGTCGCTGCTGACGTACCATGTGCGAACTAGCGTGGCGCCACTGCGACGTGTCCGTGAAGTCCTACAGGTGGCGCTAGTGGAGTTTCCAGACAACACGCAGCTGCTTCAGGTAGCAGGGACTGTAGATCAACCGATTGTTATCTTCAATAGATTGCTGTGTTCAATAAATAGAGTGCTTCTTAAACTATCTCAGTGTCATTCACCCTCGAGTCTATATCGCAAAATTTCATTCACCCACGACTAAATTTCCTTATGTTGTTGCTAATTTTCGTCTTTGTCTCCATTCATCCCAAAATAATTTCATTCACCTTTGGGTGAACCGTTCACCAGTTTAAGAAGCATTGTAGACCAACCAATAGTTGTTATCAATATACTGCTGTGTTGGTTTCTAGTCTATTTCTTTCCTGGTTATTTTTTATTAAATGTGCATGTGTGCGTTCGTGCATGTCTTTAAATAAAATTGATTAAATAATATAGATTAACCAAATTAAATTTTAATTAAAGTGGGTTTAACACTACCATGTGCTATTAGTATTATGTTATAGGTGTAAACTTTTAAAAATTAGTGACTGTTGGTTTCGTAAATGCAGTAAGTTGAAAGCTTTCAATCGATTTTGATTGAGTATGGTTAAAAAAATACGAAGTGTTCACTGTTTTTGTTTGTTTTCGGTATAATTGCAGATCTTTCTGAAGCTAGAGGAGCGATCGCAAATTGCTGGGAGGTTGCGGAGGTACTTTGATCATGTTTGTCCAAAGTCCAACACAATCGTACCCTGGGTGTATGCCATCTATGCAGAGCTGAGCAGGCAAAAGCTGAAGGCAGTTATTTCCGACCAGGGTAGGTTTTTATTTAAGCGAACAACATGCATTTTAAGAATGATGTAGATCACAATTTCTGTCGATTCCATCTTTTGCTGTTGATGAAACATTAAAATGTAGATTGAAAAGGCATGTGGCAGACTTGTTTGACACTAATTTTTCCATAATGTAAAACTTGAATGTAAAAAATTGGCTTATGCCTTTGAATTCTAGATTGTGTATTGATTACCTCAGTCACTATGAATGCAAATTGAATGTAATAACACTGAGTCTTTTCACAGTAGGATTCATCCTGCATTAAATGATAAGATAAATATTGGTTTCAAATCGATTTTATGTCACTGTTACCATCTTGCCATGGTAATTGATTATGTACCTCTAACGGATCAATGCGTAACATTTTTGCGTTCTGTTCACTCGCTGAAGACCTATATTTCCAGTGATAAGAAAGTGGGGACGTAGCAGGTAGTCCAAAGATGCTGTATATTTTCTCCTTTATGAATCTTCGTCCTTTTCAGATGAGCCGGGCATGCAGGGTGCGACGTACAATCGTATAAGAAGCCTGTTTGAGAGAGCCGTCGCATCGAAAGTCTGTCAGCATTTGATTCTCATGTGGAGAATGTACATGAGCTTTGAGGTACTGTACAGCAACAACTGTGAGGGGGGGGGGCATATTTGTGTTGCCATCTTGTGAATTACACCTAGTAATTAATCAATTAAGCATATATATATATATATATGCGGATTTGGAAGGTTTGCTCATTTTTCTGCTAATATTGATTTATTAGTGGGAGAACTTCAGTTGATTAAAAACTATGGGTGTATATAAATTTGCAATCCTGCACGTTTGTTACGTAAGGTTACACAAATATCCCTGGGTTCTGTTTAAGAATATTTAACTTGGATATCAGTACAAACTTGAGCATACTTAATGTTAAACGTATATACGATTATAGTAATGTTTAAATATATTTAATCGCACATTGTTTTCAAAGCTAAATATTTTTCTGGTGTTTAATTATCATTAATCGATCGGTTCCTATACGTATAAAGTCGTGCGTACGTCGATGGGACATACACAGGATAAAAAAATCGGAATCTTCATCTGAGTAGCGATGATGTGTGACATGAATTTATGACGTCTACGTGTTTTTGTAGATACTGCACGGCAGTCAGCGGAGTGCACAGCAGTTATTCTACAGAGCAATTGCTGAATGCCCCTGGGCTAAGGTAAGTTCGTTCAGATTACCCAGTGAGCTCATGTTTACTGGAAATATCAAGCGTAGAGTGCTACTCTCCTTTTTTATACAAGAGTACAACATGTGCGCGATCATATTTTTCTGCAAACGACCTTCAAAATCGTGATCTTGTTGTTGATTTAGTAATTCTACTGTTACAATCGCTTTATTCAATGCTCGCAGCATACAGTAAATTGTACATTATGCAATTACCACTGCGCATCATAAAAATTGATAATTGCTTAGATATGATGTCCTTGTTACGATGTCCAGTCTGTTCGTAAATTTGCGATGCGTGATGGCGACCCCTGGTGGTTAATTTGCATATAAATCTGCAGATGTGATGTAGCTGTCAGCTGTTTAATGAGAAATTTGTAGTGCATGAGTATGAGTAATTTGCATCATTCTGATCAATCTTGCGCCGTATCTCCAATGAAGATCAAACAGCGTAGATAAAAACAGTCCGTCATAACGTCGATAAGGATTGAATTATATATCATCCAATTTTAATTTGAATAGAAAATTAAAACGTGTCCGTCTTATGAGAACGTGCATGATAAACGACAATTTAAATTTTTATTAAAAATTTAATTTCCTACACGATACATCTGATTACTCGTGAACGAAATGTCAATAAGAGCTGGAATACTAATTTGGAGCCAATATTTGCAAGTCATTTATCTAGTTTTTCATATAAATGCAAAATTTATGTGTAATGTCATCTTATTAACTTCTGTCCCTTTAAAAGGGTGTGCTATTGGTTAATATTTCATGGCTAGCCAGAGCTAGTTCATTAGCTAGTGTGAATGTGTTTTCCGGTGCATGATCAATCTTATTTGGACCGTGAGAGGTTCTTCATTATAAAATGCATGCAGTCAATATAATCTCTCTACACTCGACGTTTGCGGTAGCGTGAAGTCTTCGTGCACCACACTTTTAATGCAATTTAAAATGGGGTCGTGCATGCCATCATGTGTGAAACGACATAGTGCTGAAGGTCATCTGTGTGTCACCATGAGTTAATTAGCATGAGGCCAAAACGTCCTTCAAAGCACAATGAAGGTTAATTGGGGGTCACTGACAGCGTGCAGTCCCAGCTAACATGCAGCCAACTACTTTTGCTGATGCATCAGAAGATTGCCGATTAGAACCATATCCTGTAGCACTGACACAGCCATACCCCATAATACTGACCCAGCCACACCCCATAGTACACTCCCAGCCACACCCCATAGTACACTCCCAGCCACACCCCATAGTACACTCCCAGCCACACCCCATAGTACTGACCCAGCCACACCCCATAGTACTGACCCAGCCACACCCCATAGTACACTCCCAGCCACACTCCATAGTACTGACCCAGCCACACCCCATAGTACTGATCCAGCCACACCCCATAATACTGACCCATCCAGCCACACCCCATAGTACACTCCCAGCCATACTCCATAATACTGACTCAGCCACACCCCATAGTACTGAGCCAGCCACACCCCATAGTACTGAGCCAACCACACCCCTTAGTAATGACCCAGCCACACCCCATAAAACTGACCCAGCCACACCCCATATTACTGACCCAGCCACACCCCATAGTACTGACTCAGCCACACCCCATAGTACTGATCCAGCCACACCCCATAGTACTGACCCAACCACACCCCATAATACTGACCCATCTAGCCACACCCCATAGTACACTCCCAGCCACACTCCATAGTACTGACCCAGCCACACCCCATAGTACTGATCCAGCCACACCCCATAGTACTGACTCAGCCACACCCCATAGTACTGATCCAGCCACACCCCATAGTACTGACCCAACCACACCCCAGCCACACCCCATAGTACTGAGCCAGCCACACCCCATAGTACTGAGCCAACCACACCCCT